TCTCTAAAAGCCAAATTAAAATATATATTAAATAACCTGTATTAAGTTTACTATTATAAAATCCCTTTAAAATCCCTATAAAATCCCCCCCTAGGCCAATCCCGCTTGATGGAAAAGCCATGTCTTGAGGGCCCGGCGGAAGGAGGGGAGATCCGGAATAATCCGGATCTCTGGGGGGAGTTCATTCCACAGGGTGGGAATTTAGCACCAAATTGGGTTGAACAGGCTAATACTATGCATAACAGACATCTCCATAAAATTCCAGATCTGAAGGGCAAATTGGAAAACTGAAATTGGAAGAAAAAAAGGACAAATTTCTTCCATACAGCTGTCAAGAAAATTTATAGACAACCCCACAAACTTTCCAGGAACTGACCTTGACTTTAAGGATACTTTTAAGTTCCAGTAAAACTACCTGGTAGTACAGAAAACTGCATACATTATGACTAGCCAGGGATTTATCAGACCAAAAATCTAAATTAATACAAAAATTATAATGTGCTTGAAAATGCAACCTATATTAAGACCAAACACTTTAAGGAAGTAAAATCCTACACACCCGGAACCGGCAAAAGAGTATGAACTTTTCTAGATGGAAATTTCTATCAAAATACCAATATTAAGTTTTTAAAAATTATTTTTCTTTAGTTATGCTCAGAAAAAAAATACAAATAACCTCAGAATTTGCTTCAATATTTGCAATATTCAAATATCAAAAAGCATCTCTATATATTGTTAGTAAAGTCCTTGCCTTGCCTCATCCTCGTCAAGATAAAATACGCCCTCCATACATTGGGGTGAGTGACACAATTGTCCCACGCACAGATCAAATCTTACCCAGCAACACTTGCTTAGCCACAATGGCTGCAAGGCGACCCAGCAAATGGCCACGTCCATCAATCACCAATACCTGGAAAAGAGAAGCTTTTAAATGGGGCTTATTGACATATATAAAGGAATATTTCTAGGATGAAACAAAACGCTCTTCTCAAACTACAGTGGTTTAAATAATTTAGCAATTATGAGAATAAGGGGAGAAAATGATTGCATAGCTCTAGACATGATAAGGATGAAGAAACAGTGTTTCCCCAATCCAAAAAGCATCACAGCTTCTACTTAGCAAGGCTAACACCATCCATCCAGCATTATTCCCCTGCTGCACAGGACAGGAATTTGGCTCAGCTTTTCCAAAGGCATAGAGTACCTTTCACAGTCTTAACGCTTATTTCCTACAAAACTAAGCCTCTGTTATTAACTTTTTTTTTGCAGTTTTCTCTCATCTATTCTACATTCATCTCTTTCTCTCTCATTCACATTATCTTTCCACCAAGCTATCACAACTGAGCAATTCTGTTATAGTCTCAGGTATGTACAATCACCCCCTGCTTAGCAGAAAATAAAGCTATAGCTTTATCATTATCATTATGCATTAAAAAACCAGCTTATTGGCATTCAGAACAAGGAACACACTCAGCAGGCATATAATTTTAAGCCTCAATTGAAAATGAAAAACCAAGGGGGGGGAGGAATAAGTGTTGGAAGTCAAAAAGCCTCTGATCTGCCGCCCCACCACCCCCTTTTAGCAACCTTCTGATCTGCAGGTCATCATACAATGAGGACTGAGCCTTTTCTTAATAAATGAGGGGTCCTTGGTGCTCTCTGAGCTAGCTTGTTTTCTTGCAGACGTTTCATTTACCCTAACTAGGTAACATCATCAGTGCGAATAAAATCTCCTTTTCATGGCACGTCTGGATTTCATCGATTTGTTCTTGCTTCGCCCCAGCTCGTGGAAACTACGAATTATTCTTCTAACACTAGAAAGCAGCTTTTCCGGCTTCTGATACCTTTCCTGATGCATTCAATTAAAACACGTATTTCCTTTCCCCCCAAAAGGCTTTGGCTATGGTGCTGGATAGCGATGGCCCTTGTAAGGCACCAACTTGATATAAAGGCCGGCGTGGAGCATCTTGGCCGTCTGGTTGATGCACCTTAGTGCACCATTAATCCGAGTCTCTCTCGTCGTCTTCAGAAGGAAACTACACGTGTCAACGCTGATCAAGCACCTAAGATTTAGCCTTCTTTAAATACCAAATCAGACTAAAGTGGGGGAAAACATTTTTTTTTACAGTTTGCCAGGAAGGAAAGCCACGCAGAGCGAGAGTCTTAATTCATCCTCAGCCACGCTAACTCCAACCCCTTCCCTCTCCCTCCAGGCTCAGCTCTTCTCTACGTGATCCCTCTCCCTTTTATCCCGACAACCACCAGGCTCTGGGAAGCCCGACAGGAGATGAAAAGCGACGCCGTTCAAGCCCCGCCGCCCGCCCGTCTGCCCCCCGAATAAAACAAAAAAAAGGCGCTCAAGCCCCGCGCACCTTCGGCTCCGTCATGGCGGCTCCTCCGTGGCCACAGGGAAAAAGACTCGGCCCCTTCACATCCACGGGGTTACCTTTTCCGGCCGGTTTAAGAAATGTTAAGAACCACAGGGGCGGATATGACGCACAGCCTATGTCAAAGACGACAGAGGAGCGAAGCCGGTACTACCGGTAAACACAGCGGCCTTCTTCCGTCAAGGGTCTGGAAATGGTGCCGCTCTACAATTTTTTTTCTTCTCTATGGTGAACGTCTTCTTTCCTAGGCCAGGGGTAGGCAACCTCGGCTCTTTTGTGACTCATGGACTTCAACTCCCAGAATTCCTGTCCTAGGCAGTTTGAACGTTTCCTTGGCTTGGAAGATTTAAGTTCAAAACTTGACAGGAAGTAGTACAGTAATAAGGTAGGGCGCTACAGGACTGACCGGAATAGAGCTCGAACTCAGGGCAGAAGTAGTACGTGTAGCTGCCATGCTGGGAAAAATCTTTCAATTATTGTTCTATTTATATTCCGTTTTTCCCTTGGAAATTCAAACTGACTTACAACTTACATAGTTTGGGACTTAATACAAATGTTTCATTTCTCTTCACAATGACTACCCGGTGATATAAGTGAGCTAAGACAGGGCTTTTCAACCTTTTCACCCATTGTACCACTTTTAGGATATGGCAACATCCGAGTACCACCAGTTGCCTAGCAAGGGGTCAAAGTGACCAAAAAGAAAAAAAAAAGAAAAAGACAAAAGTGATAAAGTACAGGTAGTCCTCAACTTACAACAGTTCGCTTAGTGACTGAAGTTACAATGGCACTGAAAAAAGTGCCCCCCCAAGCCACAGCCGAGCAAGACGCCTGCCTGCCCACCCAGCGGTGCTCTTCCTCCTGTCTGAGGTTTCCATTGTTGTGAGCATTTCTGTTGAGGATTGGCAGTGGGGGTGGGGGGGTGTTTGGTTTTTATCCCCCCCCCCCCGTCTGCTGGGTGGTTGCAGCAGGTTTTGGTCACTTCACTTGACCCTGGGACACTGTGACCGTCATAAATATGAATCAGTTGCCAAGCATCTGAACATAAATCACAAGACCCTGGAGATGCTGCAACATTCCAGCTGATTGGTGCTTCTTCAGGGCTCAGTAGAAGCACCAGAATCAGCGCCCAGCTCCAGCTGGAACCTGGCGCTGATCCTGGCGCTTCCGCTGAGCCTTGACAGCCCCGTAGAGGCTCCTATCAGCTGGAAAGCGGCACTGATCCTGGTGCTTCCGCTGAGCCCTGACAGCCATGCTGCTCCAGCCATCTCTCGCTCAGGC